GGGGGGGGGGGTAGGGGGGGTTATAGATGGAGGCTGAATTCTTTGGTATTGGTAGATAATGTAATTTTTATTGTAACGCTTTTTTTAAAAAACTGCAGACTGCAGTTGAACAACGTGATTCTCTCGGTTTGACTTTCTAAAGCCTTTCATGAGGTGATGTGTTAGATTTCCAAAGAGCCTAAGAGAGAGAGAGAGAGAGAGAGAGAGAGAGCAGAGAGAGCTTTGGACATTTAACAAATCCCTTCACCTCTCCCCTCCCCTTCCCATCCCTTTTTTAAAAAAAAACATCTCCTTCCTTAACAAACTCCCCAAATTTAAAACTCATCCTATACCTATCATAACCTTATTCTTTTTAAAAGGCTAACTTCGTTTGTAACATAACGTTCCTCATATTATACCCTAGTATATGAATATGCTAGGGTAAGATGTGTTTCTTTGAAGTGTATCTTATAGTATATTGAGAGTTACTAATTAAGGATAAGTAAGAAAAGTTGGGGAGGGGGGGTATATCTATAGCGTTTGTTTTATTTATTGTGAATTGTGAATTGTGAGAGGGATAGAGATTTGTGTGATGAAGTTGATGAATATTACGTCTTTATGAGTCCTTCGCTTAGCTACTGTAGCTAGGGTTGTTTTGGTTTAGAGGTTGGGGTAGTAGGGGATAGGATTGGAGGGGTAAGAAAGAAAGTAGGTTAAAGTCTGTATATAGGACTATCTTATGAAGTATATCTACCATGCGCATGTGATATGATACATGATTTTGGATCCTCTATTCTAGCTACACATTAGCCCACATCTCGTCCATTCCAACGCACGTTTCCTGCTACAGTACCAGTTCTAACCACCCAAACCTCCCTCTAATGAAATCGTACTACAGCGCGATTTAGGACTGTAGACCATTTTCTATCGTTGATTCGTTTTGCAGGTTATGCAGGTTTGGGTTAGAAAGTTGGGTTTGTGTAACATTTTACCAAGTCCACTGCGTTGTGGCGGTGTCGAATCTACAGTGTTTAGCGAGATGTGTAGCCAGAATCCGTATCATCGATTAGGATTCGAGAGTGTTGATATAATACAAGTCTTTATACAAACCACTCTACTCAATCTCATCTAACAATATAAAAAATAAAGCAAACAGCGTGAGAAGGGATATATAAGTATTAGTATTCACCGTCCAAATGTCCAAGGTAAGGTAAAAGTGGAACAGACACTACGGTACCCCCTAAACATCAAACACTAACAAAATTCACTAGTACAAGTTAGATCAGGGGAAGCAGGTACCAAGCATGGTTAACTTACGTACATACAAACTGTGAATTGTATCTTGTTTACTTCTGGCCATAACAGATATGCTCCAGGATGTGTACGTGTTTTAGTATAAAATACTAGTCTAGCTACCCGCACAGAGCTTTCCTTCCCCGTCCACCACCCACCCCTCCTCATAAGGATACTTCCCATCACAGATATTCTGGACGTACTCTTCCTCTTTCAGAATACATCCCATCACCACCATCCAAACACAAACAAAAGCCTCCACAGACAGAGGACACCCACCCACTTCTTTGTAAAAACAAAAGAAGGATCTGCAGAATGTCCAACCAACAAGATATGGTGAACCAATACTGCGTCCAACATAGTCACGGTACTCATACACATACACATTCAGGACTTCCTCGTGCCCGTAGGGGATCCCATCTTGCGAGATTGGAGACATCTACGCTTTCGCCTCTGGAGCAGGTTGATGCGAATTCCCCGAGTACAGAGATGCCGCGGTCGCAGGATGGGGATGGGGAGGGATCTGGGGGAGCGGTTGGTGGTCATGCTGGTGGTCGGAGAGCGGGGGTGAGTGGTAGTTTGATGTCTGAGGCGAGTTCTGAGGGGGATGGAAGATATACGCCACAGTTGAGTGATAGTATGATTTCAGAGTTGAGTTTAGGATCGACTGGACAGAGAACACTGTTGAGTGGTAGTATGATGTCCGAGGCAAGTTCCGAGAAAAATGGAAGACACACGCCACAGATGAGCGATAGTATGATATCATCAGCAAGTTCCGAGTGGTCAACACAGTACACACCACCCGCAACGTCAACAAACAGTCTCATCCTCGACAAGGCCTCTACCACAGATACCAGCAAAGCCACATCAACATCAACAACCTCCAACCAGCAAGTCCTGAAGCGCAGCTCTCGGAAAGGCAATGAGAAGCCAGCACACAAAACCACCCCTCCCCGAAAGAACCCCGAAAACAGCATAAATTCAAACCTTGAAGCACCTCCCAACATCCCACGCACACTCTCCTCCACCATCTCCAACCTCTGGCAATGGGTCCTCTCTCAAACCACCACACCCCCCCAGCTAAGCAACGAGCACGACGCCCTCCTTCGAAACCTCTCTAGACTAGATTCCGAGGAGCAGAAACTTGATCAGATCGAAGATGGTCTCGAACGAGCAATTATTAAGAGACGGATCAAAGACGACCGTCCGAAGGCTGAGAATAAGCTTGAGAAGCTTGCGAGAGAGGCATTTGAGCGTGAGGAGAGAGACGGGGCCGCGGAGGGGATGAGAAGAGTGGTTGTTCGGGAACAGAGAGGGAATGGTGTAGCGGAAAAGGTTGTTGGGGCGGGGATTGTGGTTATGTGCTCGGGGTTGGCTTGGAGAGAGCGGGGGAGATGGATGAGAGGGGAGGGACTTGTTGTGAGAGGGGCGGCTTGGAGTTGGAGAGCTGCTGGGGAGACGCCGTGGACGGTGAAGTTGTGGCAGTTTGTGATTTTGAGTCAGTGGGAGCGGAATTGAGGGTTTGAGAAGGCGGGGTTTTGCTTTTGTTGAATAGGGTGTGGGACTCTTGTGATTCGGCTGGAGACAGGGATTTGAGTTGATGTGCGGATTTCTAGTTTGGGATCTGGTGGAGCTCACGTAGACCTCAATAAAAAGCGGTATTTTTTAGTATTGTTGTGCCTCTAAGGGTTGATGAGAAAGTGGGTTGAGAGGGAGTTGTGCTAATTAAGCGAGGTATTAAGGAGGGTGGGAGAGGTTTAGTCATTACTCTGTACACACCTAGCTTAGAATAAAGTTATCCCAAATGCCCAGCATAACTGAATAGTTGTGAATGGGTTAAAATAACCATCACCTTCCAATTTTTATTAAGCTACGTATACTAAGATAATTAAGCTATCTATACTAGATCTTTAGTAGTTCTGTAATGGTTTTAGTTGTGTGTATAGAGTAATAATATGGGACTTACATAAATTACTTCCATTAGGTCCAGTGTAAGTCAATGGCCACAAGACTGATATTTAATCATTCAGATACCTCCAAATGTGCCTGAATTGCTCAGGGTCATCAACATGATTAGAAATTAGCATTCCTAATTACTCTCTAACTCAAGATACACAAGGATTAACAATCGAGTCCCTCAGTCTCCTCCCACAACCCTCAAAAACACGCTGCACACGAGCTTTACAGTATAATTCCCATCGGCCGAATCATCGGATGAAATCTTCTACAAAAACACTCTACTCCGTGTTCGTACCTGATTTCGCAAGGCCAGCAATTGTGGACTGAAAAGCAATGTTTGTTTTGATGATCTCCCCCCAAGACCCACCCGGTTCCCCAGTTACGATCCAGTTCTTAACCAGATCTTCGATCTGCGATGTGCAACAAGATTCATCACTGCGAAATCCCATTGGCAATAATCCCGGCAGACGGCTTTTCTGCCTGATTCCCACGGAAACATACAGCACCGATCCGCAAGGCCAACACCTCGGTATCGGTGCTTGGTTAGATGAGTTGAGATGAGGCATGAACCAGTGATCATGGAAAGTCGCAAGGAATTAATTTATCTTGGAAGGAGCGAGTGGAGGACAAGGTTCTAGCCCCTCTCCCCTCTCGCATCCCGCTCCAGCCCCTGGCACGTGACCCACGCAAAGCCGGATGCACCCCTGGTACGGCAGGTGCCAAAGCCGCAAGTGCCCAAGTGCGGTGCATTTCCCTGCGAGTCTGCGAGTCTGCGAGTTTCAGGCCATTCACGGGCAAACGACTGCCCGCTGACTGGCCCACGCTTCTTTTTTTCAGGTTATTTTCGTGGGCCAAGTTCGTCGTTCCTCCTTCTCTCTTCACCTCCGGGGTTCCTACGAACAAACACCACCAACATCATCTCACCATCCAGCAAATGCATATCGAAACAGACACCAGCCTAATTATCTCCTTCCACGGTCAAATCCTGATGCGCACCGCGAAGAACCACCAGAAGCTGCACAGGAACTATCGAAGCCAAACCCGATCTGACGCTGAGCGACGACGAGGCGCTCCATGAGAGAGGTCCGCGACGATAAATCGACCACGACCACGACCACGAAAATTAATTAGATACGACCATCACCACCATGACGAACGTAGTCAGAGGTTTCCACACACCCGTTCCTGGGTCCGCCGACGAGGACTCGGACTATGGATCCCAAACTCCTTCGCGTCGTCACAAGTTGCAGGATGTGGTCAGCGCGAACAGTAGTCCCATGATGCGATCAACTTCGGGCCAGGGAATCAGCGGAATCAGCCAGATGCGACTGACTTTGGAGACACTGCACCTAGACAATGGGTCGCGAAGCAATTCTATGGTTCGTAGCAGAAGCAAGATGCGCCAGTCTCAACCACAGAGCAGCACAGCCACGTCGGAAGGATTCAGCGACGATGAAGCATCCGATATTACGAGTTACGATATTCCCTTGGAACACGATTTTATTAGCGAAAGTGTGCGTGATAAACCTCTCATTGGAGCCGTCGAGGGTGGGCTGGTTCAAGACACCGTTGCTCGGAAGATGACTGCAGAAGATTTCCAACCCTTGAGATGTCTCGGTAAGGGCACCTTTGGAACCGTTCTTCTAGTCAAGCAGCAAGCCACGGGTCGATTATATGCTCAGAAACAATTCAAGAAGGCCTCTTTGACAGTTCACAAACGACTCGTGGAGCAAACCAAGACCGAGCGATCCATTCTTGAGAGCGTCAATCGACACCCATTTGTCGTAAAATTATTTTATGCTTTTCAGGACCATGAAAAGCTCTATCTCATTCTCGAGTATGCCCAAGGAGGAGAATTGTTCACGCACTTGGCACAGGAACGTATGTTTACGGAGGATGTAGCATCGTTCTACATGGCCGAAATGGTTCTTGCGCTTGAGCATCTTCATCAAAACTTGGGAGTCATTTACCGCGACTTGAAACCCGAGAATTGTCTTCTCGATGCTGAAGGACATCTTCTGCTTACAGATTTCGGACTTTCAAAAGTTGCTGTTGACGAGAATGATAAATGCAATAGTGTTCTCGGAACAGTCGAGTACATGGCCCCAGAAGTCACCCAAGGACACAAATACGGCATGGCAGTAGACTGGTGGTCTTTTGGGGCCTTGGGATTTGATCTTCTCACCGGATCCCCTCCTTTCACGGGACAAAACCATGCCAAGATTCAGGAACAAATTGTCAAGAAAAAGTTGGCAATGCCATATTATATGGGCAAAGATGCCAAAGATCTTCTCACCCGTCTTCTGCGTAAAGACCCTAACAAGCGTCTCGGGGCCTGCATGCCAAAAGACCTACTGACAATTAAGAAACATCGATTCTTTCGTAAGATCGATTGGAAGGCTCTTGCTCGTCGCGAAGTTGAGGCTCCTATCCAACCACTGATCACCGATCCTGAACTTGCCGAGAACTTTGCTACAGAGTTCACAGATTTGGCTTTGAGTCCTGTGTTGACTAGTACCCGACCTCCATGGAGTTCTACAACGGCGGGTCATGAAGATCCATTTGGAGGCTTTAGCTATGTGGCTAGTCAAAGTCTTTTGGATTCCAATGGTTTTGTGAGCATGATGAATCATATGCAGGATGGTAATGGGGTTGTTGCGGTTTAATGATTGGTGTTGGAGGGGCTCAATCGCGTATTCGGTACAAAGAACATTTCTTATGCATAGGCATCGCATGATATCATAGGGCGGATAAGGATTCAGGAAGATTGGAAAAATCCACCTTTTTTCTCTTTCGGCATCTTTGGGCCAGGGATTTGGTATGGAAAAAACGGGATAGGACGTGGGAAGGAATGGGAAGGTGTGTTATGCATGCTATCTTGATTTGGTTCGCTCTGGTCTGGTCTGGCTTGATTTGCTTTGGTTGGTCTATACAAGTACAGTATGGATAGACGGAAGACTTTACAACTGGGTAGACGGAAGATTTTCTTTTTACCTTTTTTTTTTTCTTTTAGGGGTTCACTGGTTGGGTTGAGCATTGTTTGTGCGAGATTCGTTAGCTAGGTAGATCTTGTTTTGCTGTGTGGTGAGAGGGGTAATAGATGTTCGTTTCTTCTTTTCGTACGCCGTGAGGATGTTTTTGAGTTGCAGTCAGTGTATACGTTTTGAGTGCTGTTGTTGATGGGTTCTATGGATAATAATTCGACTGGAAATTTGTTTTTGGGGGAGGGGGAGGGGGTACTCAGTAAGTAACAGCCCCTCCGCCCTTCTTCTTTTTAGAAGCGCAAGCGACAGCGTAGGAGCAAGACGCACTGACTATTGTGCCTCCATAGGTAGTAGGCACTTAAGGTACTGTAGTAAACAAATTAATTGAGGGAAGGTGGGGTGAATAAGTATAGTACTTGTAAGATTACATTGCAAAAGTGGGGTTCTCTCCCACCGACCTGCAACTTAGCGTGGCTTATGCTACCTTCCATGCTACAGTATAGTACCCGAGTACTGTAATGTAATCATTACCTCACCTTATACGCATATCTGTACTCGGAAACCCGAGAGTAATCTTACATCTGACATACAACAACAATATCTCTCGCCCTCGTCCCCATTTCACTAGGACGTCTGTTATTTCGCTTATTAAAGGTTTTTGAGCTCAGACGGGTTTGAGATTAAGATAAGAAGAAGAAGACGAGAAGGACGAAGAGAAGACGAGAATGGAGAGAATGGAGAGAAGGGTAGCAGCGTATGGGACGTGGATATCGGATATCTCGTCGGGTGTTATTGCGGCGGGAAGGATGGAGTTTTGGGAGGTTTTTGGGGGGGTGGGTCGTTCTCTTTTTTTTTTTTTTTTTT